ATCATATGCATGTCGATCACTCAAATTTCATAGTAAAAAATTTACCCCCGTGATCTGCGTGAAAAATCGTGTGACTGATAACCATATACTGATACGTACGTACGTACGTACGTACGTACTTCGTGATATTCATCACTCCGTTCCTGGTATAATCTTATAGTGGGTTAATAAATCAACGTTTAAGAATAATAGCAGTAATGTTCATTAATTATTTTTGTGTTACCCGCCAGAAATTATTTAAACCCAATAACATTTTTTTTATTTTTCATCGCTTTTTACCTTATTATGTCTAAAAACAATTTTGGTTCTAACTCATCATCGGAACTTTATGATAATACATATTCTTTTCTTAAAACAAATAGAAATTTTTATAAACCATCGGTGGAGTACTATCAGAACGAAATGATATCATGGATTAATTGTTCCAGTTATGAAAAGAACGAATTTAGCGGTTACTTAATCATTAAAATCACGGTTACACATTTTGTTAAAGATAAAACCAGTAATTTTCAAATTATAGAGCAAGTGTGTCATAAATTGTGGAATAACAGTGTCTTGCAAATCAAGGATAATTATGAGACTTTATATAATTGTATAAAGCACACAATATTTCAATTACGCGAATCAAAGGAGAAACTAGAGCTAATTGACAAAATTGCCCCTGCTCGGTATCAAGCATTCGTTATCAATATTCCAAGTAATTTTGAAAACAATGGTGTCCTTATAAAAGGATCTAGTGTTACATGCAAAGACAAACAAGATACATATATGCAACAGATTACTAAGATTCTTATGAGGAATCCTGATCTTAAGAGTCAAGAAAAAATTATAGACTTATTCCAGAACTTAGAGGAATCAAGAAATACCAGAAGCTTAAAAACTGCCTTTTTATTCGCATCAATCATTAGACCTTATTTGCAGGAGGCCACTGGAGAGCAGAGCATTAAACAAAATTGTTTGGTTGCTGCTATCACAAAAGTTTTTAGTAAAGATAAAATTCTTAAACGTGCTTGTCAAGGAGCTAGAAATGAGCTCAGCAAAAGATTACAAGCTAACCGCCAAATAAAATTAATAGCATATAAAAATAAGAAGTAAATATTTATTATAAATTGAAGTCTTGAGCAAATTTTTTTCGTGATTAAATAAGAATTAGTTCGCTTTAAGTACGTCTTATAAAATTTTCAAGACTTTATTTATGGTTCGTAATCAATTTAAATACTAAGTAATTAAGCAATAAAGAAAATCAACTTGTTATCATGTATTATTTATTTATTCTAATAAAAGTTAGTTATGGCATATGCTAATAAATCACTTGAATATATATGAATCTACCGTGATTGATATGGAATGGCTCGAGTTAATTGCAGATGCAAGAATAAAATTGCATTAATTTTTATATGTTTCCTAATTATCGGAAACGTTCTATTTTTTTTTTTTGCTAAGAAGTTTAGTAAGGTTTGTTTTATTACAAGGAAAACTAAAGCATTATCGTATAAAAATAAACCCAATTTTTTTGTTTTAAAGATTTATTGCTCGATTATGGTAAGCTAACTTATCTTACAAAAATTATATAAGAATACTGTTCCTTTCGGGAAAAAATGATTGGATCTTAGTAATGCATACTTTCTTTAAATTCATTCTTTTTTGTTAAATATTGTGTACATTCGTTATTGCTTTGTTCCTTAGATTTAAATTAATTGCATATTTTAGGCTATGATCATACGTAGCAAACACAATAGCTATTTAATTATATTATATCGAAATGTACCAATTTGTCGCACTTGACTTTTGCATGAATTTTGCGCTATGCTTAGGATAGTTAATCATCTTTAATCAATTTACATATTAAGTAAAACGGTAGTATTTATATTTAAAGATTTATGCTAAATATCTTATCTCGATTTATTTGTTTAACCTTCAAAAATTATCACAGAACAATGTTTCGCAAGATAAAGTGTAACCGAGATCATTGGTTTACTTTTTTTATCATCATTGTAATTAACTATCCGAATAAAACTACAATGTTTAATCTACCATTTTAATTGCAAATTTTATTTAAGCATCATTTTTTTTCGTGTGCATGATTTTTGCTTATGCCTTTCTTATACCAATGCCTAGAAGAATAATTTTTGTTTGAAATAGTCATAGCGATAGTAACGATGGCAGACTTGTTACAAAGATTCCTAGTCAGTTTCCTTTTTTTAGAATTGCTGTCAAATATGTGTACAAGGAACAGAGTGAAACGACTACCCGTGGGAAAAATGTGTGCTGCAGAGCGAAAACTTGTAACTGATCATAACGATTTACTATGATCAGTTACAGGCTTTTTGCTCTGCAGCACTCAAATTACATTTTATTGGTCAGCGTGATCATAACTATCACAGTGAATTTTAAATCGCATTAACCATGTTTAAACAGGTATTGAAAATTGATTGTAATATAAATAGTAAAACCAAAATTACTTATCGTTATTATTATAACGATTAACCCAATTTTTAACATCGGAATTTATGCGATAAGAATTTGTAAATTATGCGTGTGGTATATATGAAATATGCGATTTGCTGATGATTAATGTTTACTAAGCAATTTTATCTCGTAAAAAAAAAACTTGCAAAATTTTTTAAATACTGCGCTCAACTAAGCAAAAACTTAACTGTTTCTAATTATTTATTGTTAAAAAAACACTTTTTATTAAATATTGCGTTCAACTAGACAAAAATTTATTTGTTTCTGATTTATTTATTGCCAAAAAGCACTTCTTTTAATAAAAATTTGTAAGCGTATCAGGATAATAATAATACGACAGGGTGAAATCCGCGATAATTTTTGGTAAAACCCGCGATAGATAAGTAAAACCCGCGATAGATAAGTAAAACCCGCGATAGATATGTAAAACCCGCGATGGATATGTAAAACCCGCGATGGA